GGGCGGCTGCGTCGCCGCGGGGGCGCTGCGGTGCGCGGCCCGCCGGGACCCCCGCGTGATTGACTCAGCGGTGATCCTTCAGCGCTGCACGCTGCCACAAGGCTCGTTAACTCCCGCGGCGCTACACGCGTCAGCTCCTGCGCTCAGTTACCCACGCGGCTATAAAGGAGGGGATTTCTTGTAACGATTCATTTATCTCGCAGTCCTGTTTTCTGCGCTGCACTTCAGCGTCCTCTCACAGACGGAACTGATTCCAGGATTAAGGTCTGTGCCACTCTCCTTACGTTTTGAAGACAAATTATCACTTACCGACATGGTTGGGGAGGTTTTCTCCACAATTCCTTCTACAGAGACCTTGCCATCCCAGGAGTTATCACAAAAAAAAAAAAAAATGCATGCAGCTTCACTTGGGACAGAGGGGACAGATCACGCTTGGGACAAGCACCCACCAGCTGCACTTGCTGCTCAAGCCCTGCTGGGCCCAGCAGCTTTAACGAGGCGGGATGCCAGCCACGGGGAACAGGCCAGACCCCACTGATCCTTCCTCCTGCGGTGCCTGACCTTTTGCCTAGGTACAAGCCCCTTGGCAGTGTTTTTGATCTCATTTAAGCTAAAGCAACAACCAAACTGTCTGAAATAGGAAAATGACACGCACTAGCATCTGATGTAGTTTGACACTGCAGTTGAAGCCGATTTAACAGCTGTCTGGCACTGAAAGAGGCAATTGTTGTCTGTCCCCTATTTCTACCCTTCCCTTTTGTCAGCATTGGCATGCGTCCAGCCTTGAAGTGGGCCAGTTCAGGGAGCCAAACCGGCAGATACTGCCAAAATGTGAATTGTTAGCTTTACTGGCACACCCTCAAAGGGTCAGGAAAGCCTCAACAGTAACACAGAGGCAGATAAATAGGAACACCTCACCCTTGCCTTCGATTTTGATAGCATCTTCACTACAAACCACAGTACTGGAACTGGCTCTTACCCCATTTTCCACAGCATCACCCATTAGCTCGAGCTGCTTACTCACCATGCTGCACAATACTTTGCTATTGAAGTAGACTCCCTTATCTTTTTTTTTTGAAATAAACTTAAGTCTTTTATCATTACATATCCAATTACCTAATTAAGGCATGCCTGAAACTGAAAAAAAAAAAAAAAAAGCTGGAAGAAATAGCTTGAGGTAGTCTCTGCAGCAGTCACCTGCAGGTGAGGTGCTGAACTCTTCAGTTCCCTAATTGGATGCCTCTGGCACTTTGCAGTTTATTTCACAGGCCATCTTGCATCTCCAACTTCCTTAAAGGGTAACAGTGCAGTATGTTATTGTACTGTTGTTCTAAAGCAATGAGACCTGCCAGTTCAGAGTTGTTTGTCACAGACTTGTTGCTATCAGTCTAATAGTGTATGAGGAAGGAGAGCACCTTTATTCTTGCTGTGGCTATTAACCATATTAATTATGAGCCCAAGAACCACATACCTCCATCCACATTGGCACACAGCTTTACATTACATTAGGAAGAGCCAAGCTTGCCGATTGAACAAGCTACTGCTCAGCCTCCCTCTTTTCCTGCCTCCCTCTCACTGATCCTCCTCAACTACACTATCCAGGCATGATCATGCTAGAGCCCAAGCCTGCCACCTTCTCTTCCCCCCCCCCATCCAACTGAGCTTTCCCACTCAATTCTGCACTTCAGCTACAATTCGATGCACCACTACCTGCAAACAGCCAAGATGGTAGCAGAGTTTAAACTTGAGCATAGGCTCAAATGTATAATTAATATCCTGAACAAAGCAGTATGCCCAGACTCCTTAAAGGAAGTATGAATACTAGAAATCCACAAAGGCTACAAGTGTAATATTAGCAGTAAACATTTATCACTCAAGTAATCAACTAGACTAAGCGCTATCGTATAAAACCAAGTTAATTGCTCTGCTGAGGACTGAGCAGTCTTCACTGAGTGGGAAATTATCTTGCAGTTTAAGACACATGAAAACAAGGAAAGCATACAGTTAATGCCTGTTATTCAGCTAGTAAGCTGCAGGAACATAAGCTTTTAACTACAGGAACTGTAGTCTGACTTGGCTAAATAACCAATTACATCATACAGTTTAATGCCAGCAATGGTTTTCCCTTGTTAATCTTAAGTATTTCAAGAGGCCCCCTGGTTTTGAAACTTTGAAAGCAATTCTTCAGAGTGATTCGTTACATAAGTTGTAAAACTTTTAATAGGCTTAAATGCAAAACATATACTTTAAATCCTGTACAAAAATATTTACAAATATTTCTATTAAAGCATAGAAACAGCTGTACAGAAAAACTAAGTGCACATGAGCATACCCATATACAGAGAAAACATTTTTGTGCCTTAGGAAAAAAAGTGCCTTGTGCATTTTAAAAATTCACTTTGTGAATTCAAAGTTAGCAATCCAGCGACAACAGCAATTTTGAAATTGCAATAAGATTACTTTAAGTGGAATGTATAATTATACAATATGCTTTAAAAGACATCTTAATATACTGCGTCACAAAAATGCAGATCTATGCCCCCTGCTTTGCTACCTTCTGTAAACACAGCAGCAGCATCCTACAACTTGCATGTCATGTACTCCTTTGCTTGGCACTCAACACCTTAAGAACCTTGACAATAACTGTTCAGCTAATGGCACTGAAGTTCTGATATTCATTTAAATCAGAAGGTCATGTTCCAAGGGAGTCGTGATCGATTTCTACAGAAAGTTTAACTTGTATGTAACAGTAACTTGGGCCTGTTTGCTAGAAAGTGCTCAAGAGTTCTGGGCTTGGGAGTTTTGTTTCTTTAAAAAGGAAAGTAGCCTTTGCATTAGACTTGCTTTTTTCCTGGCGCTTTTGATTTTTACATAGGCACCCCCATTAATCAGCATGAGCAGCTCAGTGCAAAGCTTGCATCTTTCGAAAGATGCATAAATAGCCAGTAACTGTTACAAGTCATTCTTCCCAACAATGGAAGAAACATGGAAATTTTCTCTGCAAGACACAGATGAGTATGGACTTGTTTAAATTTCATTCCTAAATAAAGATTTATCTAGGAATGTTCAAGACCCTCCCCCTTATGCTGAAAGCCAAGAATGATGCATTTGAAAAAAAAAAAGAAAAAGAAAAAGCAACTTTCCACCACACTTTCAAATGAAGTTGGATTACTCCCAGCAAGTTATGTTGACATCTTAGAGTCAGAATACAGTTAAGCTCTAAAATCAGAAGCAGATTTTTTTCTGCAGCAGGTATTTTGCTAAACTGAATAGCAAAGATGTCTAGCCAAGTTTATATCTTTGGAGCTTCTAAAGAGCCATTATTGCAGCCACAAATATTACACATTCAGAAGACAGGAAAAGCCCTGTTCCTTGGCACTACCCGTCTACCTTCAGAGAAAGATTGTTCTTTCCCATTAAAAAAAAAGACCCTAAAACAAGCAACAGCAAGAACACTTTCAAGTTGCAATGCAGATCTTCACGTTCAAGAGCACTTAAACAGTTGACAAAGTATTCCAGTAAGTTTGGTTCAGTCTTGGAAGTAGTGCACAGCATCCATCAAACCATGTGAGAGTTGTTACAGGAGCCAGTGTTTGTCTTGAAGTCACTTCTAGGAAGTCCTAATTTACAGTAATCTTGTGATGAACTTCTTTTGCCAGCATCTCAGACAGAGAAGGTACTCAAGAACAATTTAAGTTACTCTAAATTCAAACAGCACAAACAGAATTCATAACAGTTCAACACATCAGAAGTCTAATTTCTTCAGCTGTTCATATGTCAAAAAGAACTGAAGCAGTTAATTAAGGAAAAGTTTCCTATTTATTCATCACTCAGTGCAAAGTACTCACTTCATTCTAAGAGACAGTGACTTGTGTGTGAAACTTCATTCTGCTGTTAGGTCCCTTGCATACAATGCTGTTGACTGACCATGCTTATTATGCAATACTCTGCAGAACAATGAAACTTGCCTCAGGGCACTGCTGTACATTAAAAGCTTCAAGGCTAGTGAATCCAGTTTTGCCCCTTCCTGTTCCTAAGGATTTTAAAGAGAACTGAGGAGGCAGGAGGCCATATTATACAAGCATTAGATTCTTGAGTCACTCAGCTTTAATAGCCTAAACCAGGTTTGCTTACAGGAATGGCGTTATTACCACCAACTCATTTAGCAGCCAGCTGCTTAGAGCCCTGTGAAATACAGATTAACAGCTGTGCGAGACAGACTGAAATACAGAAATATTTTATGGCCAACTGCCAGTTTTACCTGTCCTGGAGGTAACCCCCACTCCTAACTAGTCTGGCAGGAAATTGAGAAAAAAAAAAGTGTTTTGCAAAGAGATAATATTCCACCCTGTGTAATGCATCACATACATGGAATCTGATTGAAAGCAGTTGACTAAGGAAATAATGAACTAAACATTCCACTCAGAGAACATTTATGGTAACATAATTTCCATATGAAATATTATCTTCAACCATCTATTAATACTTGCTGTTGTACAGCTAGTTAAGAGTTTTCACATACCTTTGAAAAGGATACAATAATATTCCAAGGACCAAGTCTCAACCAGTTTGGCCAAAATCCTTTATATAAAGCAAAAAAGCCTTCATTCTTCCACGTCTGGAAAAAGCAAGATCAAATAGCACTTACAGAATTTTGCACTACTGAGAAGTCTAGATAGCATCACAGATAAAGGGAGCCTGCACCACTGAAGGAAGCCTTAGTGCCACTGATCTTAATGTAAAGATGTCGTCTGTTCAGATAGGAAGTGTTTCACTTTGTAATTAGTAACGCTTGCAGCATTAGTGTACCCCAGCAGAGAGAGAGGCAGTCTCACATTTAGTACCCAATCTGAATTTGTCCAAATCACATCCCTGGACTTCTCTATTCAAAACCTTGAATAGAGCTGCATATAAGCCTGCTGCTTATACTAGGCATCCTTGTGAAAGATTTTAACTTGTTTTGTGGACTTCAGAGTCACACTGGGCAAGTTAAAAATATCTACTCCAATGCCTCTTCCTCTTTTCTAAGCCAGACAGCTATCTCACACTGCCATTCAGAAGAATAAGTGCCACAGTTTATGCACATTTATCCCACCTCTTGCTTTAAACTAAAAGGGGGAAAAGAAAAGGACAAAGGGGGACAGCCAGGGCAGTTCCACTCTCAGCTTGCGTGAGAGTAGTTAAAAAAGTTAGTAAAAACTTGTATGTGCAAGTAATAAGATAAGTGACTGCAGATTTGGTTTCCTGCATCAAGCTTCCCCTAACTTGGCTCAGGTTTCTTTACTTTTACTGCAGCATCCCGGAGACAGGAGACACGCATCCAGCCCCTTCTCGCTGCTCATCCCTTCCATTTGACTGGCAGGAGCTTAGCATGGCAGCATCCTATGACGCTGCATAGCAGAAGGAACGCTATTGCCAAGCAAAGGAGGTATTTTGCTAAACTGAATAGCAAAGATGTCTAGCAAAGTTTATATCTTTGGAGCTTCTAAAGAGCCATTATTGCAGCCACAAATATTACACATTCAGAAGACAGGAAAAGCCCTGTTCCTTGGCACTACCCATCTACCATATGGGTACATTTACCATAGTAAATAGCCTTCAGATACTTTGCAGAATAGTGACTCTCATCATCCAGAACTTCGTTTTCTTGAAGTTCAACCCATTAAGTGCCAAAGCCAAACTTTCCTTTTCCTGACAGGATTTTCTTCCCTCTACCAGCATCAAGGAGCAGTCAAACTCCCTAACCATTAACTAAAGCTTCAGCTTGTGATAGGAAGAGGATCTGAACAAAACTTTCCCATAAAAAAGGTTTAAAGTCCGTGTGTTCTGCAGTCTCCTTTGTTTCTAGAGAGAAGCTTCATAAGTCATGACAAGGCAGGACTGAGAACACCAATTTACAAGCAGGATTTTTAACTCGTCTGATTCCTTTACACACACAAAAAACCACACACCCTGTTTCTAACTTTCCCCTCAGCTAGCAGTAAGGTTTTTGCAGCCTTTATTCCCATGAGGAATTTTGGACTGCTTTGTCCAGTCAACAGCTAGGACACCAACAGCTTCCTATCGACTCTTCTCTATATGCAGGACCATGCTGCTCCCTTGCTTTTACCTCATACTCAGTTCAGGGACTGAAGAAGCCAAGGCAAAAAAAAAATCTTCAGAAGACTGACATTGCTTTCCATTATCCAGAATGCAACAGAAAAGAATCAGATGCCCCAGAAAATGGTGTTCAAGAACTAAGTATGAAGTAATAGTTTCTTATAGTGTTTTAAGAATGTTAAAACTAAGTAAAAGACAATACCACCAAGAGATTCAGTCTTCTGATGCAAGCACCAGACAGAAATAAAGTGCACCTGCAGTACATACACTACACCAACTGCCTTCCTGCCATTCTGTCAGGACAGTAGTGACTTTTTAAATCAAATGCATTATTGGCAATACAGCCCTTTTGAGGGCAAGTTAAGTTAAAAAAGCATCTTCAAGTGTTACATGCATTAATTTCTAGAGGACTTTAGAACAATTTCAAGTTCCACATCAAAATTCTTGCTTGATGATACAAGCTTCTACTTATGTTGGTATGCTAACTGTACTTACTTGTAACAAGCAATCCAAAGTACCCTTGTAGCTTGAGTGTGTCCCATTTCGTTGGCTTTGCTGATTCATCATGCGTGTCCTCACAACATCAACTGGGTTAGATGCAATGGCTCCAGCTAATCCACACGTAAAACTTGAGCTAATGAAAGAAAGCTTTAATGAAGCTTGACCTACCACATTTAAAGATGCATAAGAATCCCCCAAACAATGCCAGAATAATGAGTGCTTTTAATGCTTTCAGTTAAAAGTTATATCAGCTACTAGACACTAAAACTAGTCTTCATTTACTATAAAGCATCGTTCTGAAGTCTTGATATACAGACCTTGTATACAGTTCTGTATGTTTGAACAGATGTTTATGCATCTGAGAAAAGCAACCATTCAAATTGAACTCTCTAATCTGAATTTGCACAGCTTAATGGTTCAGATAATCTATAAAACAAAATTCTGTATTGATTTTTCAAAAAAAAAAGCTTCCCCGTTACATGCTACAATTTGGGATACCACTGCATTAAGAAATAAACCAGATGTAAATATACTTCTGATATGACAAAACATAATTGGACTGCTGTTTTATCTTCCGAAGAGCTCAAATTTAAAAGATTTCTTTCCTACAGTGAATGAGAACTAACTAATGGTGAGTTATGCAACAGACCAATGTAGGCAGTTACAGCTATACAAACTTACACGAAGTGAGTATATACTGTGTCTCCCATAAATCCAGACATGATTATGTGCTTCTTCATAAGATCATACACTGGCAGCTCCACTCCAACAACGATAGCTGCTCTCTGTGCTGTCAGGGATACTCCCTGGCAAAAAAAAGAGTATAGCTGAAGGTTAAAGTAGCCTCTGAAAAGCCTCGCTTTTCTAATACAAAGCATATACCAAAGTGTGTTAACGCATTTAAGAACGTTGTAAATTCAAAGACCTTGATTTGGCACAGGTCTTAGACACATGTGCTCATGAAACGTTTAGGTTCAAATTAATAGGTAAAGCTCTTTCCCACATTGAATGGCAATTTCAGTTTCTTATGCTACTCCATCTCTGCTTAGCCTCTAGCTTTTCTTATATCAATGATCAATCAAGATGAACAGCCAGGTGGTACTAGCTCTCCTTACTTAGTCAACTCTTCCATTAGTGGTAAGGAAGATGAAGGGAAAAGCAAAACTGAGATCACTATACTTTTCAGAGAAAGATACACTAATAGAAAAATATTTGTTTTTTTAGCTGTTTCAGAACAATATTCCATTATTGCACTCTTCAGTTGTCATACAGTCACTGACTGTAATTGGCATAAAAAAACCCTATAAGACTGAGAACAAGAACTCCTGCGCTAGGAGGGATGTTCATTAGTACCTTACTTCTAAATGCTCTTTAGTATTTTTGAAAAGAACAGAACATACAGATGGAGAGGCATTTTACGCATGATTCCCGAATTAGTCCTACAGATCATTAGCCTAACTTAAGCCTCCATGTTTGTTCTCCTTTTTTTTAGAAGTAGGAGCAATACTTCAAGGTAAGACTGACAGTAACCCTCTGTCAACAGGCACCGTAACACCAGTGGTAAGACAGTCATGACAAGCTACATACATCTTGGCTATTGCTCTATCCATATTTTGATTGGAAACACTGCAGAAATACATAAAGTTCAGTTAAGCAAGAATTAAGAAAACACAGGATAATATTTCAGGATAAATACTTCAGGAAAAATAATTCAAAAAACTTGCCTTCCATAATCCTTTAGTGCCTTCCTTTTGGTAGATCTTTATAAAGTTGCCCATCATTCCTCCTTGTATCATACTACCTTGGGCTTGCATTCTGATCTGAGATTCATTTGAAGATCAAAATAGAAAATAACTTTGCAAAATATAAGATCAGTAATAGTTTAGTACAGTTTTATCATCATTGTGAATTACTATCTTAAGTGAAGTCCCCTTGAATACAAACTGATAGCTGATATTACCATAACCATGAAGCAATCTTTGTAAATCCGTTAGCTATCCTCTGCCTGCAGCTGCTAATTTTGAACGAGTATGTGGTGTAGTTCTTAGCTGCATTAAGTCATTTCTATTTCTATACTCGTCTCCATTTAGACTAGACCAACAGATGGATTCTGCAGGATGTCCTTTATAACATTCTCACGGGAGTATCTTAAATTGAAAGGTTAAGAAGATTAAGGTTTCAGCTAGTAAGAACCATCTTCGGTCTTTTGGATTTCTGACAATGTCCTTAGGAAGCTGCCCTTTTAACTGTCAAATATATATATTTGGTGACAAGCAAGTCGGAATATAGACATAACTTTGGGAAATAACTAGTTGAAGCCATGTTTGAAACAAATGAAGTTATGACTAGAAGCAGCCACATAAGTCACACGTTAATTTGATAACTTAAATGTCACTAACTCCCTTTTGGTAGCTGGAAAAAGGTCCTCCAGTATCATTAAACTAACAGATTCTAAAGAGGTAACGGTTTCACAGATTCAGTTCAAATGAGTGATAACTACTGAAGCACTATTTCCAGGGGCAGTGCACTACAAAGCCTCTAACAGAAACAAAAAGAACTTGACCTATCAGATTTTCCTCAAGAATCAAACCACCCAAGCACCAATCACTGGAATTGTCACCTCTGAAGCGGTCTTTGCATATTCTAAGCTCTGGAACCATTCCAGAGTAACAGTATTACAAGAAAACTAAATTCCCATATGAAAATATGCAGAAGGGCTTCCACACAAACGCTGTGGCACAAAAGTTACAGTAACAGCAATCTTAATGATTTTTTTCCAAAAAAAAAGCACACAGATCCAACTACCTCCCTAGCCATGAGTTTCCCAGGACATACTTCTAAATAATTAGCGTGGACCAGAAGGAGGTTCCAAGAATTCAGGACATTAAACTACTTTTTTGAAAAGGCAGTAAGAGATGAAAATAATTGATGTTACAAAACAGAATCCCACATGCATCAGCAGATTCCACATTTCTTCAAGGAGAAAAGGACAAACTACTATTACCTTTAAGACATCTGTAGGGTTGGCAATAGATGATGAAATTACTCCCGAAAGAACACCACATACAACGTTTATTGTCAGGGTTTCATCTATTCCATGAACAGAGAAAAACAGTTTAGTTGCAGATGTATAAAGCATAAAAGGTATCATGGCAGCACGATGCTTCCCCTCCTCTAACTAGAGGGACAGCTGACTACAGAAGTCTTAAGATCTGCTCCGAGACAAGTTTCCCTTGCTGGCTCACTTTGTTGTATTTGGTACGTGGCATTTCTTCTCATAAGACTTATTTAAACCACTGCAATAAGACAACAGAAAAAAAACACCTTCTAGCAAACCAGTCTAACTAGAATTGAAAAAAATCCTCACCTTCTGGATGCTCAACAATCATTCTTTTCAAACTTTGGTAAGTGCCTATTTTTATAGTTCCATATGAAGCTTGGCGTAGCATTGCAGGTGCAATCCTGTAAAAATATGCAGTAACAACATTTATGGCTTAAAATTGTCAAAGATTGAATGATTAGCAAATACTTTTTAGTGTGGGGGGAGACTGACCCCAAGACATCTACTATTGAAAGGTTTGTTCATTTAAATTTATGATTTAAACTCATTGTAGACAAAACAACTGTTTCTTGTAGTCCTTACATAAATATGAGGGAACAGTGGAAGGATTATTTTATAGCAAGCCTCAACGTGTGGTCTATAAAATAGCAGGCAAACATGTCTGAAGTAACTTCAGACAAGTTTTTGTAAGAGAAGCGCATGCATTTAGTCACATGCAAAACAGAGAAAAATGGGCTGAATCCATGTTCATTTACTCTTCCTCCTAACTGAAAATTAGGACTGCAGCAACTCTGCATAGAATAACTTTATACATATGTATATATAGTTAAGCATATGTGTGTATATATCTTCTCTATTTTAAAATAACGAATTTCTGAGCTGAAATGCCAATGTAGAATGCAAAGACTGAAGTATTCTAAGCTTGAGCTTTTAGTTTCTTAATTCTTTGGGGAGAACATCATGTTTTCTCCGAATACCTTGTAAAAACTCAAACTCAAGAGTTTAAGTAACTATGACTTATGCTCATTATCAATAGATTGTGCAGAAACCACTACCATAAGTCAATTAGTTTATTTTACCCAGAGTACAATGCTTTCAATCCTTCCTCTTTGCATATTCTCACTAGTGCATGCACCATTCCACGGTAGCGGATCTCTTTATATTTGGCATCATTAACTTGACCTTGAACCTGCAGACGTGTCTTGGTCAGATCAATTGGGAAAGTACCTTAAAAAAGAAAATTGGGGAGAAAGTCTGTTCAGTTAATCAAGTTCTTAGCTAACCACAGACAAAAGACACATGAGAAACTGCAGCCTCTATTACATACCAAAAATATATAAAATTGCTCCTGAAAAGGGAAGTACATCATCGCTATTACCAAGGCTTCTTGTTGAAGATTGTTAATTCTATGTCACCTTGTTTTTCTAAGCCAAGATCAGAAGCCCCACCTGCTTCCTACCCATTTGTTTTGCGTTCAGAAAAGCTATTATGTTCTCAGGCAACCCAGTGTTGCCTGGTTATAAAAAGCCACACCAAATGGGACACTACAATCACAATCAATCACAGAATTTGTAATCTTTCAGTGTCTTTGAGGAAAACTTCATTAAAATGAAAGAAATAGATACTATACATCAAGCTATACAGATTCTAATATAGGATTTGAAAAAGCAATAGCAGCAGCACACGTTTCTACTACTGCTTTTCCAGGCCAATGCCATTGTTCATATTCTCAGTCTTTCCTTTATAAAGCCTATAAAGCACAAGCACATTCCACCACAGCTTCTCCTCTACTAAAGGACCACCTCAACATTCAGTACTCTCACCTAAACACAAAGAGGAATCAGAATAAGCCACCTCCTTTCTAATCAGGTTTCTCAGGAAAGCATGGCTTCCATGGATTGCCCATCTTCCCCAACAAATTTTTTGCACTATTGGCCGCTATCAAGTCAAGTAAGGTCTCAACTCAAGTTTGCACAAGATTCATGAAAAGAGATGAGGTAGAAGACAAAAAACAGAATACTAGTTTTACTTAGAGAATAAGTGCAATGTAAATTACATCAGACAGACTCCGTCTGTGAGTCTTAGCACAAGACATCAGGCTACTTACGAAAATAAATAGTAACTGCTTTAGGAAAATACAGTTTTCCTTTGTTTTCATATATATATATTTCAAGCAAGATTTAAAATGATGTTAGTATTTCAGGTTTGTCTTTAGATTTGACATTTAAGTGTCAAATGCATTATTTCACCATAACTATTCTATGAGATACCTATTCAAGACAAAGGAACATTAACTGGAACGCAGCTACTCCAAAAAGCTAGAAGAACAATTTGACTAGCTAAGAGCTTAGCTTATGTACTCCAGCAAAACAAAGGCTGCATAGACTTATGAGCATTGTCTCTAAACAGATCAAACACTGAACAAGAGAGGGAACAAGCCAAAGGGCAATGTTTGTATAAAAACAAGACTGATGAGTTTACAGAAAAGCATTTCAACATTGTAACAGTGTTCTGAGCAACTTTCCAATTGGTAGTGGAGGAAAAACTCCTATGTTCTGCTCCAAAGACAACCATATCATACAGGATCATTGATTGACCTGATAGAACCAAGCTTGTTTTAGAAGGGACCCTCTGAGTTAAGGAAGTCATGTAAACAGTTAAAAGAAATGCTTACCACATTCTGCAGTGATTGATGCTAAACCTCCATAGATGAATGGCTTCCAGTTCAGTGCTGACATTACTGATTCTTCTTTCTGTGAAAGACAATAGTGATTTAAAGCTTCTACTAATAAAGGTAGCTTTATGTAAACACATATGCATCTGCAACATTTGTCAATCACAGCACTAGGTGGGGTGCATAGGCTAACATTTAATATAACTTTGTGCTTTATTCATTTAAGCTGGACTTTCCAAACATGCTAAGGGTAACAAAGTATTTATAGTACCTTTGACAACCAGAACAAAGGTAACACTACTGCAGAAAGGCATCTGGGTTCAAATCAGTATCTCTTGTCTTTGGGCAACCGTTATCCTCATTGTGAAATGTGAAAGTAATTCATCTTCCAGACATGATCTTAAGGAGCATTGCAATGAATAACTTCCAATAGTTTTGACCAAGCTTAATTTAGCTTGATTACATCCTGGAATCAAGTGGAATTTTAAGACAGTCATTACTACACTTCTGTCCTTCTTTCTGGTATCAAGATTAACATGTACAGAAATTATGGGAATACAGTATACTCTGCTTCCATTAAGGCATTCATTCTTGCTAATGTTTCATGAAACTAGTGTGTGCAGATGCAGAAAGCCTTTTAAAGTAAAAAAAGGCTCTTCCAACTTACAAGTCAATGAAGTGACTTTGAGAAACAAGTGACTGCAAACGGTAAGTAATCTGTGATATATGCAAGAGGCTAAAGTAATCCAATGATAATCCTGGAAGAGAGATGAGAATTATAAAACCAGATTAGTCCAGCCCATTCAAGATTGCCCTTCCCACAAATCAGTAGGTCTCTTCACAGCTTCTCTTCCCCTTACTCACACACACTCTCCACTTCCATTTTCTATAATATCCTCCTACATCCTCGGATTCTACAATCTTTTGCCCATGAATTTCACAGAATAGCTGTATTTGACACTGCACTTTGATGGCACTTCCAATTCCTGTTACTTTTACTCAGCTGTACCACCTAGCTGAAAAGAAGTCCCAGATAAATTAACTGGTTATTTGCCACTGCTTATTCTAGGGATGAACCTTCTTTAGCCATTTCCTCCAACCAGAAGAGCCAATAACAGAGTGTCCAAATTAAGTTAACAGAAGGTGCACATACTGAGCACACCTGTAGTTACTGTAGAACTACTTTTCCTCCATTATCTTTATTTTATGTCAAAAATTACTTAGTCTTCAGTCTGACACTCAAAAAAAAAAAGGATACAGGAACTCAAAGCACACATTTCAGATACTCAAACATATCAATAGAAACTCAGCTTACTCTTCAGACTACTGAAGAGAAAACCACCGATAAAGTAAAAAAAAAAAACAAAACAAAACATACACACACAAGAAAGGGCAAGCAAGGGCACTCGCTATATTGCCCAAAGGGGAGCAGCACAGAGATCAGGAACTACTGGCAGACTATGCCAGCTTTCAAATATGAAAGCAGTAGAGCCACATCATACTGCACCAGCAGAGGCCACTTCCAACTCCAAGTACCTTATATTCCTCTGTGCTGCCATGATTTATAACAGACCCATGATTAACAGAGACAGGGGTAAACTCAGTTTTCCCTGCCACCAGCCACAAACATACCCCTTTGCTTTTAACAGGCCTTGTTATCTAAATTAAAAGTACCAGTTAACTTTTCACTTTCAACACTGAGATTTTCTGTTTATATAGATTTACTAGTACTAGCTGAATGAAGCTCAGATACACATAGGATACCTAGATACAAACATTTTTGGAGAGTACCTTTCCCTTGACATATCCCAAGATTAAAACCTTACATATTTGCTGTCAACGTTTTACCTCTGAAGGCTTACAATACTAGTCTTTGCCTGTCATTTTAGGCCAAACCAGCAACTTTGAGTCTTCTCATTTATTTCTACCTTCCATCCCTTCCATACCTACAGGAAGAAATGCAAAGTGGCAGAGCTTATCTCAAGCAAAAAAAAAAAAGAAAAAAAACCACACACCCCCACACACAAACAGCAGCTTTGCTCCTTCTCCTCAGCTGTCTTATTTGACATTTTTCC